AGATGGTGTTTGCTGTTTTTTTCCCCCTTGGGTGGCTGCATATTGTATATGGGCATTACTGTTCCCAGTGGATTGCAGGGCCATACCTAGATATTTAAAACAGGAAACCTGTTCAAGAGTTTGCCCATTTATAATTCAAGGCCTTTTCTTTTGTCTTCTACCAAAGGTCATAATTTTTGTATTTTGATAATTTATTTCTAATTCCTTCATTCTGCAGAAGTCTGCAAATTTCTTAAGGGCTCTCTTTAAGCCGATTGGAGTTCTCGCCAAAAGCACAGAATCATCCACATAAAGATTTTTTTCTCAAGTTGCCTTTCCCCAGCAGCTGTGTCATCTATGTTGGAAAATAAATAAAATATAATTCAGACAGGTTTGCTTAAGTATCAGCCCCTCGTAGTACATGTAGTGGTAAAAAAATTCCAATTTGTATATTGGTAATAAAACAGACACTTCCACAACCTTCTGATATGCCTGATACTACTTATATGGGAAGCAGCTGCAAGCATAAGATGCTATATTTTGATTCCAGAATGAAGAGAGATGAAGATGCAGATGTACTGTCATAGAGTCATAGAGCTGAAAGAGACCACTGAGGCCATCCAGTCCAACCCCCCGCCATGCAGGAACATCCATCAAAGTACTCCCAACAAATGGCCATCCAGCCTCTGCTTCGGCGTCGTTTAGTCATGTCTGACTCTTTGTGACCCCATGGACCACAGCACACCAGGCCCTCCTGTCTTCCACTGCCTCCTGGAGTTGGGTCAAAGTCTTGCTGATCGCTTCAGTGACACTGTTCAGCCATCTCGTCCTCTGTCATCCCCTTCTCCTCTTGTCTTCACACTTTCCAGACATCAGTGTCTTTTCCAGGGAGTCTTCTCTTCTCATAAGATGGCCAAAGTATTAGAGCCTCAGCTTCAGGATCTGTCCTTCCAGTGAGCACTCAGGTTTGATTTCCTTTAGCATTGATAGGTTTGTTCTCCTTGCAATCCAGGGGACTCTCAAGAGCCTCCTCCAGCACCACAATTCAAAGGCATCTTTATGGCCCAGCTCTCACTTCCATACATCACTACAGGAAAAACCATAGCTTTGACTATGTGGACTTTTGTGGGCAAAGTGATGTATCTGCTTTTTAAGGTGCTGTCAAGGTTTGTCATCGCTTTCCTCCTAAGAAACAGGCATCTTTTAATTTCGCGGCTTCTGTCTCCATCTGCCTCTGCTTAAAAACCTCCAAAGAAGGAGACTCCATCACCCCTCAAGGCAGCCTATTCCACTGCCGGAAAGCTCTGACCATCAGGAAGTTCTTCCTAATGTTCAGATGGAATCTCTTTTCCTGTAGTTTGAACCCATTGCTCCGTGTCCGAGTCTGTGGAGCCCTGGAAAACAAACCTGTCCCCTCTGAACATGACATGACATCCTTTCAAATATTTAAACATGGCTATCATGTCCCCTCTCAGCCATCTTTTTTGTAAGACAAAACATTCCCAACTCCCTAAGCCGCTCCTCGTAGGATATTGCTTCCAGACCTTTAACCATTTTAGTTGCCCTCTTCTGGACACGTTCCAGGTTGTCAACATCCTTCTTGAATTGAAGTGCCTAGAACTGGACACAATACTCCCAGTGAGGTCTAGCCAAAGCAGAATAGAGTGGTACTATCACTTCCCTTTATCTAGACACTATACTCCTGTTGATATAACCAAGAATCACATTGGCTTTCTTGGCAGCTGCATCACACTGCTGACTCATGTTCAGCTTGTGGTCTGCCAAGACTCCTAGATCACTTTCACAGGTACTGTTGTCTAGCCAAGTTTCTTCCATCCTATATCTTTGCAGTTCATTTTTTTTCTGCCTAGGTGTAGAACCTTACATTTAGTTTTGGCCCAAGATTCTAATCTGTAAAGGTCATTTTGGATTTTAATCCTGTCCTCTGTTCTCCAACTATTTGTCTTCTGGTTAAATATACTCCTGTTTTGGGAGTGGGAGTTATGGGTATTAATCTTTGCCTACTTCATTATCAAATCAAATCAATCTTTATTTGCGGTCTCTGACCCAATAGGATACATACATGTAATATTTAAAATAGGTGTAAGCAATTAAAACATTTCAAGATAGCTAAAACAGTATAAATTAATAAAACATTACCCATACATTGTTTTTTTTCTTTAATGACGGGGTTAGGTAGAGGTCAAGATTGTCTTTCGTATTCTTTGAGCAGAGAGAAGGAATTTGGCCACTGATTCAGTGGTTATCTTGTTTGTGTCACTTAATAAATATTTTGTATGCCAAATCAAAGTACTACCTTGGAAGACATTCATTATGAGCTTGAGGAATTTGATACACTCATTTCTGTAAAAATTACACTCAAAAAGGATGTGCTTCAAAGTTTCAATTTCTCTATCCTTACAAGGACAAAATCTTTTTTCATATGGGGGTGCCAGAATTTCACCCATCTAAAATTGCGGATTGGAGACAATTAAATTGGGCTTTTGAGAAGACTTGCCTGTATTTTGGGATAATCAGATTCTGCAAATACCTATCACTTTGGGAGAAATTATAGTTTAGGCCAAGGTGCAAGATGGAGCATGTTTTGAGAGCCTTTGAAATAGAATATTGAAAGTCAATGTCCCTATCCATTTTTCTAGGATAGAGTTGGTTGCCTTGGGTTCCTGGGCATAAAGAAAGTCTATAGAGAGCCCTAATAGATGCAGATTGGCTGGAAAAGCTTTAAGCCATGAGCTGTTATGGACGTATTTCTGTACAAGGCTAAGATATCCCATGGAGGGATCAGCATATATTACCTTATTCCAATATCTAAAAGCAAAGAGCTAAGCACTACATTCTAGTGATGTTAGACCAGTCTCTAATCGTAACACAGCTGCAGGGACGCACCTTGGCATTCCTAGTATGGATCTTAGAAAAATTGAAAGAACACTCTCTCTACCTGTGTGAAATCCTAGAATCCAAGTTGGTATACCATATAACAGTTGGGGCAGAATCTTGAGCTTAAAAATTTGGATAGCAGCTGGTATAAATTGCCCCCCCTTAGTAAAGAAAAAAACGCAAGATAGCTTTCTGCATGTTCTGGGCTGCTTGGATATTGGACCGTCTATGGGCAGCCCAGGAAAATTTATGATGTAATATAATACCTAGATATATTCTCAAAGGCTTTCACGGCCGGGATCTGATGGTTGTTGTGGATTTTTCGGGCTTTTCGGCTGTGTTGTGAAGGTTGTTCTTCCTGACGTTTCGCCAGTCTCTGTGGCTGGCATCTTCAGAGGACCAGAGTAGGAACAGAGCATGGACAGAGTTCCTACTCCAGTCCTCTGAAAATGCCGGCCACAGAGACTGGTGAACACGGCCAAAGAGCCCGAAAAACCCACAACAACCATAATACCTAGATACTTTAGCTGTTTTACTTGCTCAATGCAAGAAACATCAATTGTCCAATTTTTTGGTGTTACAGACTGAGCGAAAACCATAATTTTGGTTTAAACAAAATTTATAACCAATTGGTTGTTCTTACAGTAGGTCATAAATGTACGGATCAGCTGTTTAAGGCCTGTTTTTGATAGTGACAGAAGAACCGCGTCATCTGCATAAAGCATTAGGGGGCATTTGGTCTCTTTCAATCTAGGAGGATGGAAGCCTGTTCTGAAACACCACCCAAGCAGATCATTTAAATGCAGGTTAAATAATGTGGGGGCTAATATACAGCCCTGTCAAACCCCTTTATTAGCCTGAATAGGTTTTGTCAGGTTTCCTTCTGTATCCTAACCCTATACTCTTCAGATCGAATAAACCTTTTGCATACTTCATTATCACAGATGACAACACAGACATTTAAAAGTTTTCTCCCTGTTGGATAAGATGTCAAGAGTGTTGTATTTTTGGCATTTGAGGATTTTTCATTTATTTTTGCTGAAAAAACCTCTTTCAAAAATGTTTTAAAACATAAATAAAATTGCATTTTCCTTTCTTTTCTTTATTTTTTAAAATGATGATGATGATGATGATGATGATGATGATGATGATGATGATGATGATGATGATGAAAAATACTGGCCTTTTGCTCTCAGTTGGCAGGATTTTTTGTTTTTAATTTGGTGTTTGGATATGTCAAGATACCCTTCATTGAGTATGAGAAGAATTGCAATTATACATTACATCCTTAGTTTGAGGAATGTGTTGAGATAGTTAGATGTAAAATTACAAACTGCAGGAGTTGACAAAAACCTGCAGTTCAGGGGAGAGAGCGTAGCTAACTACATGGTGCAATATCTCTGAACTGCTGGTAGGCAGACTACCTAGCTGTTAGTTGAGGTGCCTGTCAATGAAATACTACAGGCCAGACACTAAAATAATAAGACTTTACAGCACATAGAGTTTGAGAGATATGGGTTTCCCATGAGCTTTCACAACCAAAGAAAGCCATGTGTTATCACATGCCTGATTTGCAGAACACCCAGTGAACAAACTGGAAGACACTCAGACCTGATTCCTAAATTAGGAACAGTCCTACCTAATTTATGGACATAATGTTTACTTTTTCCCTCTGTTTCTGTTTCACTGACAGTATTGAAAGAGTATAAAAAATGCAAGAACCATGCTAATGCTCCTGTTGCAACCAATCACATCATCTTCCTCTCCCAAGTAGTTTCTGTATCCATATACTATCAGATTGTCAAAGGAATGGCAACTATATCATTTCCAGTGTTTGGAAAAGGTAACTTTTTGGACTGTAGCTTCCGGAGTATCTTAGCAGCAGCTAACATAGCCAGTGGCCATGCTGACAAACTCTGAGTGTTTTGCTCCAAAAATTATTTTTCTAAGATCTGCTTTTGGGTAGCAAAAAGAATTTGGAAAAATTAGCAGTAAAAATGTATATGTTAATCATGCAAATCATAATACATTGGAGGAAAATATTTGTGTGACCTTCTGAAACCTTAACTTTTAATGTTCTTTGGATTAACCATCTGTCTTTCCTTTCTTACTTTTCACTACAGATGGAAAGCCAGTGTCATTGTCTCCAGTTGAATCCCAGCCCCACAGCCCTCGTTACACAGCCACAAGTCAACGGGAAAGAGAGAGCTTGGAAGTCCGCATGCGGGAAGTGGAAGAGGAAAACCGGGCACTTCGCAAACAACTCAGCTTGGTGCAGAGTCGGGGCCTGGCCCATCGTCGAGGCAATCACTCAAAAACTTACTCCATGGAAGAGGGGACAGGGGATAGTGAGAACCTGCGGGCAGGCATTGTGGCAGGGAACAGCTCTGAGTGTGGACAGCAACCAGCGGTGGAAAAGTGTGAGGTAGGCAGATGATTTGCCATCACAGATTATGTTTCTAAATTAAACAGATTTGTTTGAGAATCTGGGCTAGTATTTTGGCAGAACTTGGAAAGCTTCCCCCCCCCCTGGCTTCAGCTATGGGGAGGGAGGGAGGGAGGGAGGGATTGATTGATTGATTGATTGATTGGGCTTCAGCTATGGGGAGGGAGGGATGGATGGAGGGATGGATGGATGGATGGATGGATGGATGGATGGATGGATTGATTGATTGATTGATTGATTGATTGATTGATTTGACTTCAGTACTAACCATCTGGCTACAAGGCCACTCTGGGTGGTTTACACTCAGTAGAACAATGATATGTAAAATATAAAGCATCATCAAACAAATCAAATCGAAAATTACAACATTCAATAACAGATATGGAACATAATTATATACAAAACAAAAAATTAGAAACAAAACTACAACATACAAAGTAAATAAGATTAAGATAAACATAAATACTGTAACTGTTTAAAAGACAAGATGGTGACAGAGAAATAAACACTGGAAAGGGCAACTATGTTATTCTGATGTAAACTCTGGAAAAGCCTGCCTAATAAATCATGTCTTCAAAGATCATTTAAAAGTTCCCAGTGAAGGGGCCAGATGGATTTCAGGTGGGAGATTGTTCCAGAGTTTCTAGTCTTCTCTTTCTGGCCCTCTTTTGAGGTCAATAACTTCAACTCCCCCCCTAAGAAGATCGAGTAGGTTGCGCAGATCTCATTGGGAAGAGGCATTCTGTCAAGGTCCCAAACCATGTGGAGCCTTGTATGTCGAAGTCATCACCTTGAAGCTGGCATAGAAACAAACAGGTAGTCAGTTCATGGTGGTCAATATAGGTGATATATGTTGGTATTTCTTCAGCCCACTCAGTAGTCTGGCTGCCGTGTTCCAAACCTGCTGGAGTTTCCACAGCAGCCTCATGGATAGTCCCACATAAAGAGCATTACAGTAGTCTAATCTCAAGACTAACAGTGCATGAACCAGCATAGTGATTCTTCAGCCAACATGGCAACTTTTGGAAAGGAAGTAATTTTTCCAACATTATTTTTGTCATTGAATCTGGCTGTGGCCAAGAAAGAAGAGTGTTTGTATGAGTCCTTTTGAGCAGGCAGATCCAGAAGACACCTTGCACTTTGGATTTCAAATTCCATCAGTCTCTTCAGGTATGGCCAGTGATTCAGAATTATAGGAATTGATATCCAATAACAAACTTCTCCACACTCTCCTGTTAAGGTCTTACATGGGCAGCCTGTGATAGAAGGAGCATCAAGGTGAAAGCGGAGAGATAGGATTTCAGTAGCTCTTAGCAGAACTCCATTTCTTATAGATCATTGGGACTAGGCAAGATGTGCACCAGTTTGACAGAGAAAGAAGTGAGGAAAATCCTTTTCTTTCCCTGTCTACTCCACCACTCATATCAAGATAGGTAAGAGGAAAAAGCAGAACGTTTCTGGAGAACTGAGGATCAACAGGCAGTACAGTTCAGGTTGATCGGGAAGGGAAGGGGAATTATTTTCAAATGGCATATTGCTCCTCCCTCTGACCTCAGGTGACCTTATTTAGACTGAACCAAAAGGGCTAGTGTTGAAGTGCCCTCTGTCAACAAATTGCCCAAGCCTTCTAAGATCTGTTGACTATAGCAAACAACCTTGTAACTTTTTGCACCTCAAAATGTTATCATGACATTCTCAGTAGTTCTAAAACATTACTCCCCACCCCATGTCATTCTCTTCTTTCTTTGAAGGTATGTTTGTGATTGCAATGATTATCATTTGTGATTCACATTTTGTGAAAGTCAAGAAAAGAGGTAATACCTTTCTTGAACAAAAGTAAATTGTTTTCTCTGGGGGCACTTAACAAAATAAGCCGAGAATAAATCAATAAACAATGGTATCAGCAAGCTCTGGGAAATAACAGGCAGCCCCTTGGAAGCTCACTGCCTAATGTCATAGTGTAGATTGGAGCAGCCGGCAGGGATATTTTTCCTTCCACAAGGAAACAATTCAAGCCAATCAACAAAACTTTGCAATTTGAAGGAAATATTTCAACAGTTTTAGTTCTCACTGTGAATGCTCCTGCTGCTTCTGGTTTTTTTTTCTGGTAGAAAATGTAATTAGGTTTTGTCAAACCATAACACTGACACTGAGTACATTTATGTATATAAATATGCAGAGGACTTAACTGTAAATGTCTTTTGGATCATATTTGTCAAGAGACTTATTAACTTCCCAAAAGCAGGTGTTTATTAGGTATTCTTCTGAGTTTACAAGTTTGTTTGTTTGTTTGTTTGTTCATTTGTTCTTTTATTCCATTTATATAACACCCATCTAGCCGAAGGCTACTCTGGGAGGTATACAACATAGAAAAACAAAAAAAACATTCAAAATCAAATTATAGCTGTAAATCCTAAAACAACACATCTATCATTTATACAGTAGAAATAGTAAACCACTAAAATATATGCTACAAGACAGTAAATAACAGTTAAACATTTAAATTGGTAGTAATTTTATAGTATTTCTGCTGTAGCAGCAATTTACAGTAGGTAAGCTAATAGTAATACATACTATGATTTTTGTTTAAATCATAGTATGTATTACTATTAATCAGGTTTCCCCTTACTTTTGGAAATGTTACTAAAACACGCCTTGAACTTTGCAATAGCAAAACATCAGGAGATGTTGGATCAGCCAAAGTTTTGCAGATGTGCAAAAAATTATGTAGACAGAACATTCCAAAGAGAGCAAAATCACCTCAAAAACGTTCATCATTATACAAAGTCATGGAAATAATCAGCAGGTGGGTGGGAGGGAAAACACAACTCAGTAGCTGGAACAAGGAGTCACAGACACACATATGTGTATATGAGGGGCGAGAAACTCTTTCACTTGCAAGGGGGCTGAATTCAATTTCTGAAATATTCCTGCCAGTTGGACTCATGGTGAATGCTGCCAAAGGCAAAAGGATGGAACAAAGTGTGCCAACAGATTTAGCTTAAAAATTTTATTGTCAGTAGGTAGTTACTAAGAGAAGGACTTCAGTGTTTCAGAATTGGAAAAAACCCATGCAAAACCTGAAGAACTGTCAAACAGTGATGTTAATAAAAAGGAGTTAAAAACAGTTTGCCCAGACCTGATATATGCAAATACTAAAAATAATCAACTAATTCTGGATCCATCCATATTTTACAATGAGAAAAAATTTTAAAATATACCCAAGGGTGGACCAGAGAACTGCCCATAGACACCAACAGGAAAAAAAAAAACAAATTACTGAATGTAGCTGGGATTGGCCACAAGTATATCTGGTCCACTAGCAACCTTAAAGAAAGAAAGAAGAAGAGATAAGGCTGTGAGGTTTTAATTACAGAATGCTGAAATTTGCAGTTAGGGAAAAAAAGGTAGCTGGAATGTGGAACAGAAGCACTCTAGAGCAGAATTTGCCATTTTTATTCATTGAAAGAAACTCATTGCATTACTAATTACTTCTCAGGAGCCAGGCTTTTATTATCATTATCATCATTTTTCATCAGGCAAGCAATTGGTTGTTTTATGCACTATGAATGCATTTTTTAATCCTTGAAGCAGGCTAGAAAAATACAGGGAAATCTTATTCTCCATCTGTCTTCTGGCCAGTTCTAAGAAGATGCCTTGCAAATATTTACAAAAATGCAAAATGCATCATGGGTTCAGACACAAGAAGTCGTAATTTGGCAAGCCACATGTGCACCCAAGAATTGTTCAGTGCCCTGGGCCTGCCGCCTTCTTATAGCAGTCCATTTAGAACACATTCCTCTGCACCCACCAGATGCATGATATAGAGATGGTAAATGTTTGGTTTGTTCAGATTGCAGCTCCAGAATCCTGACATCAGTGTTAGCCACTGGATTCTGGGAGTTTTAGTCCAAAAAGCAAATATTGCCAATTATTGTGTTGTAACATCTAGTTCTATACTCAGCTTGATAATGAGCAGCACATTGTGCTTCTGAAATTTTGCAAGATGTCTTCAACTCCCAACCTCTCACCACTGAGCTATCCAGCCAGTTATAGTTGGATAGCTATAAATTTTACAGCTTGCCATATATCATAGACTCTTAGGGTAGGTTACAAAGCTGTTTAAAACAATTTTAAAACATAAGATATTTAAAACAATTTAAAAGTAAACAGTTTAAAACACAAAATATTGAAACATCAAAAAAGTTATGAATGTGTTTCTTTCTTGTGCATAAGTTGAATCTTGTAGGCTGAATCTTGTATGGCTCAAAGATAGAAAGAGCTACAACCAATTTTGGTTGAGGGAGTAGTTGCTAAAAAGGGTGACTGGATTAGATGGCCTCCCAGATTATAATGGCTTTTACCAACACATTTACTTGCTCAGCAGGGGATTAGTGTCACACTGCAGGCAATGGTTATGTAAAACATGGGACTTCTGTCTTCTATCCATTCGCCTATCTCAGTGTTTCAATAGTGAAATAGCTTCCACTTTTTAAAAGATTCACACAGTTATTCAATGGCATAATGTAAGCTTAATTTAAACATCCCTATTATCAGATTTGCCTTCAGGGTTCCCATCATTTATCCTATTATTGGAAATGCCTCATTCCCTCTGTCAAACCATGGTCTGGTTTCTGTGATCAGGGATCATTTGAGTTGCTTTTTCCTTAAGGTAGGGGAGATTTAAGGCCAGGAAGGGAAGGAAGGAGACAGAAAGAGTGATGCTGCACAAAGCAGAGTAGTAAATTAGCAGTGCATTTCATTCATCAGCTGGGACATTGTAAGAAAATGAACAGAGGGATCTATAAAACGAAATATTTCTATCCAGTTACTTGTAGGTAAGTGCATGCTACAGGACTCATGACCTACTGCTGCATCTAGTAGCCACCTAGAGTGGTCGCAATGACCAGATAGGCGGGGTATAAATGGAATAAATAAAATAAAATAAAATAAATCTCTTTTTCCCATCCACCCCAAGGCTTCCATATTTACCTGGTGCCTGAAAAGGAGAGTAGGACTTTTCATGGAGCACCTTTCATCCCTCGGATTTATATCCCTGTGGAAACTAAACCAGATAGTCTAGCTTGGATTCCGTAGCCCCCTTTTTGGCAGGAATGTGTGTTCCAGTAAGGACTTTCACATCCATCACTGTCATCTGACAGCACAATTGCCATACTCTGAAAATGCATGGTTGCCTCTGAAGGGAAGGGAAGAAGTGAGCGCTTTTGCCTTGGACCACACAAAGGATCACACCTCTTTTTGTATTTGCAGTCATATTCAATATTCTTTAACATAAGGGAATCACTTTTGGAGAATATGTAATAGTTTACAATACTAACTAAATCCAAGTATTATTCCAAACTAGAGTAGACCTACTGAGTCAGTGTAGTTTACATAACTGTAGACCTACCAAGTTACCATTTATTTAATGGGTCTGCTCTACATGCAACAAGAAAATAGATTTAGCCAAAATTCTTTATTCCTTTAGTTACTTCTCACTGCAACTCGGATTGAAACTACTGCACCTGAAATGGGGAACAAACTGGAAGGGCTAATAATTACACTCCATCATTTTTGTGTTTCGTTTGTTGCATCCTTTGACCATTAAGTTCCATCATCCATCACTCAGTTAAGAGAAGACATAATTTATTTGTCTGGAATTCATCCATTCCTACTTTCTAGATGACACATAACTTCTTTGTAAAATTAGCATGGTGCCCCCCCTTTATGCAGAATGGAACCAATAAAATTATGTCTAGAATAACAGAATCCTAGAATAATGGAGCTGGAAGGGGCCTATAAGGCCATCAAGTCCAATACTCTACTCAATGCAGGAATCCAAATTAAAGCAGATCTGACAGATGATTGTCTGATTTTCTCTTGAAAGCCTCCAGCATTGGAGCACTCATCACCTTCCGAAGTAATCTGATTTCCTGTAGCTACAGGAAGTCAGATTTTGGCTGAATATCAGCAAAACTTTCTTAACTGTTAGCAGAATGGAACTAATTACCCCAGGAGGTGGTGAGCACTCCAGTGCTGGAGCCATTCAAGAGAAAATTGGACAATCATCTGTCAGATCTGCTTTGATTTAGATTCCTGCATTGAGCCTTTTATTACATACCCTGGACTCTGGGTTGATCAAGAAATAATTGTATCCCTCCTCTATATGAGACTACCTTTCAAGTGGTTGAAAAGTGCTATCATATCTCCTCAGTTTTGTTTTCTCAGAGCTAAACATGCCCAGTTCTTTCAGGCTTTCCTCACAGGGCTTGGTTTTGGTCCCCTAATAATCCTTGTTGCCCTCCTCTGAACTTGCTCCAGTTTAGTGGCATCCTTCGTAAAGTGAATTGTCCAGAACTGGACAGAGTACTCTAGATGATGACTAATCGGTGCCAAATAGAGGGGGAAAGGACCTCACAGGATTTGGAGATGTTAATGCAACCTAAAATAGCATTTGTCTGTTTTGCAGCCACATCACACTGTTGGGTCATATTCAGCTTGTGATCTACAAGATCCTTCTCACTCATAGTATTAATGAGGCAAGCAATATCCTTGGATGTAGTTCATCCAGCCCTGGGTATCTGAACTCATTTAAAGTATTCCTTGACTATCTGTAAGATATTTCTTGACTATTACCCTAAGATTTCCCTCTTTCTGTTTTCTACCCTTTATCCAGAAATCCAGGACCAATAACTTTTCTCCTCTGGGGTCCCTGCCTAAGAGATCTTAAACTACAATCCCTTGTGCAGATTTTATGCTCTGTTTTTTTATTTGTTTGTTTTGTATTTTAGCTAAATTTGAGGAAACTCAGTGTCTTTGTTTCTAGACTTCAGAAGGCTAGTATCAAAACTTTCTGAATGTCCTATTCGTATAAAATTTATATAAGAAACTCCAGGTGTCAAATATGCATTATTTTAAAGTGCATGTAGTACTACAGCTGCATGACATAGTTTAATAAGCCAGAAGCAAATGAGCATTATACAACTACAAGCCGCTCATTCTGAGCAGTTTCCATTATAGGTAAGATTAAGATTTGTGGATTTTTTTCATGTATAATAATGCTAAAATGTAAACACTATATTGTTTTTTCTCTCCCATCCTGCCCCCCCCCCAGACGATCCACGTTGCCATTGTCTGTGCTGGATACAATGCAAGTCGGGATGTTGTCACACTTGTCAAATCAGTTTTGTTTCATAGGTAAGACCTTTTTATTTTTGCTTCTCCTCAAAGCAAATAATTGTCAGTACATTTGAACCTGGTAATACAAGATTGCATTTAAAATATGATAAAGTGCAATACCATGTTAAACGGTGCTAAAAAGGTTGGAAAATATGTACTTCTTATAAAACTAGGTTCTTTTGCATTCATCATTTAAGCAGCTTTCTCTCATCTTAGGCAGTTTACTGGTCCTTTTGGTTTCCTGTAGAAAATCATAACCACATTAATGCTAATGGGTATGAAGTCTCACTGTAGCAAGCTTTAAGCAGGGAGTGGGGTGCATGTAAACCCCCCCCCAGAAGTTGTTAGACTGCAACTTGCATCAGTCATCATGTAGTCAATGGTAAGATGGTAGAATTTGTAGTCCAAAATATCTGGAAAGCTACATGTTCTCCTTTCTCCATACTGGGTAACTTTTTCAGACAATATATTTCTGTGAACAAGTTGTTCTTCATTTAAAAGCAAACATTTTTGCTTTTCATCTTCCTTACAATAATCACAGTGTATATGGTATCTGTAATATTTTTTGAGATATTATGAATGTTTTAATAGTAATGTTTACTATTAGTACTGTATAGTATATATTTATCTGAGGCAGGTAGTAAAGCATGGGAAAAGTAATCAGAAAGCAGATGAAGAAAGGTGAATAAAACTTGTGTTATTATCTTTTAATAAACACAGTAAAATTCTTTAAAAAAAAACACCAATCCTCTAAAATTGCGAAGATCAGCTGAAAATCAAGTTAAGTTGCCAGTACTGACCTATACCGCACAGACCTGGTCTCTAACAAAATCCATAAAGAAAAAGCTCAAAAATACTCTGAAAGCCATAGCAGGACAGATGCTAAATTGAATATTTGTGAGCTAAATATCAGATTATTTGACAAAAATATGTACAAATAAAGATGCAAATCAACAGATAACATCATTAAAGTGGAGATGGGCAGGCCATACCTGATGATGAGCAGATGGGCAATAGAATAAAAAGGTAGTTCACTGGTGACCTTGGGTGTGGAGGAAGGATATAGGACTACTACAAAACTAGAAGGGTGGATGATTTTAAAACATCGGCATGATTGATACTAATTAAAGGTAAAGGTGAAGGTTTCCCTTGACTTTTTTTAGTCAGTCGTGTTCGACTCTAGGGGGCGGTGCTCATCCCCGTTTCCAAGCTGTAGAGCCAGCGTTTGTCCAAAGACAGTTTCCGTTGTCACGTGGCCAGCGCAACTTAGACCTGGAACGCTGTTTACCTTCCCACCGTGGTGGTACCTATTTATCTACTCGCATTTACATGCTTTCAAACTGCTAGATTGGCGAGGAGCTGGGACAAAGCGACGGGAGCTCACTCCGTCGCGTGGATTCGATCTTACGACTGCTGGTCTTCTGACCCTGCAGCACACAAAGGCTTCTGCGGTTTAGCCCGCAGCGCCACCACGTCCCTGCTTGATACTAATTAGAACAGTGCAAAAGATAAATTTATGGAAGCAAATAAAGAAGGAGCCCTTTATTCCAACACTGGATGTCAGTGGTCAGAAACAGGAGGAGGAGGAGGAGGAGAATATTTCTTGAGTGGACTTGGCTTGATTTGAAAAGTGCCCAGGCATTTCTGTAGATACATTTTTCAATTAGCACACACTAGTGAACTTGAAGCCTAGCATTTATTGGGGATAGATATGGAAAATACTTTTATGTCAGTATTCATTGGCTTGGCTTTCCAAAACTGAACAGCATTTTTGCCAAAACTACACAATACCTCACTGGGGTTCTGGTTGATCCTAAAGTGCCATTTAACACACAAAAGTCCACTTTCCCCAGTCACTTTTCTAACATTTGCCTGATGAAGATACAGTAATTCCCAAACCTTGTTCCTTTAAAACAAAATTGCCTAATTTCTGGAACACTAAATCTAGAAATTGGGTCACTTTTCCTGGCCAAGGTAAAACCAAACCCATTCTTGTCTACAAATAGTGTCTTTTCCTCAGCTAAGCTGGTTTGGTTTTGTTCTTTGCAATAGAAGTGCTGATCGGAAAATTCAGTGGCATTGACCTCTCATTAAAAAGCTTGTTCTCCTAAAGTGGTTGTACTAAGGACACAAAAAATGGCTTAACCAATATTATTTTTGGTGCATAGCACAATACCTTTGTTGAAAATAATAATTAAGCTGACAGCGAGGGAAGGCTTTCTCAATCAGTAGAAGGCAACATACTGCAAAACCAGAACCGAACATTGATGTGAAGTTTCCTTTTGCAGTCTTGAATAATTAAGCACAAGTGTTGCAATGGAAAATGACTGGCTCAGAGACGATGGCATTATTATTTTAGCTGTGATTTTAAAGTGAAAATTATAGAGGCCTCATGCTTACTTGTCTGGGGCACATCACAGAGCAACCATATAATTCTGTATGATTAGCATCTGTGGAAGGTACTAAGGTGCTAAATACCTGATGTGTTTACATAACAAGAATGACCTCTGTAAAGGGGAAATAGGAATTCAGAGTGGAGGGGAAGTAAATAAAATTTCTACATTCTGAGCTCCAAGGTACTCTTAACTTCTATCTTTCATGATCACCACATTATTTCCCATTCCCGTTATCATCAAGATCATAGAAATGTGTGTGTTTTCATCTAGATTGGAAACATTTCCTCCACCAGTCCTGAGTTGGTCCTTGTGAATTTGCATGGTAATCCTAACAAATACTAGTAATGATGTCAGTGCAATACTTTAAAGTTCTATGGGGCTATTTGCTTACTACTGATGAATCTTACAAACACAATTCCACAAAACAAGTATCTTCTTATTTGCATTCATATAACAGACAACATGAACAATTATAGCAACAAAGTGCTACAATATGTGCACCCAAGACCTTGGCAATAGTACTAATACAGAAGTTGTTTGTTGAATTTGCAAAGTTCAGGTGTCCATTTGATTTCAAAGTCAGTCAGAAATCCAAGGTATCTTCCTTGGATATCCAATGTTGAATTTGCAAAGTTCAGGTGTCTGTTTGATTTCAAAGTCAAACAAAAATCCAAGGTATCTTCCTTGGATATCCAACAAAACCCTAAAATAAAATATCAATACAATTGTATGCAATTCATAAATTCACGATGTAGATTCATCCCTCCAACACAAACATATAAAATTGTATCTAAACGAAGTTGGCAAGGGCCTTAGTAGCCCAACTGGCAACAGCAACTCCAGGCTCTTCAGTTCTCCCATTCTTTCTCAGATTCAAACCTTTTACTCACAGTCCTTCTCTTTCTTAGTGCCACCCCTTTGTGCTGAACCAATATTTTATAAACGACATTAACAGTGAAGGGGGGGGGAGGAAAGATGTTGCATTGTAAGCAAAACATTTAAAACAAAAAAAAAAAAACAAGAAAACTGTGTAAAACTAGATTAGGCACTACAGTTTTAAATTCATTTATTGTTTACAAAGTGTGATACCCAATGTTATGTAATGGATGTACCAATGGACCAGGGCTCAGGAGACTTATGTTCAAATCTCTATTCAGCTATAAAAACAAATGAGGGTGGTCTTTGCACTGATAAAATGATGCCTGAAATGTCTTACTTACATTGAAAGCTTTACAGTATTAGGGTCTCTATAAGTTCATCCTGACTTGATGGTGTATAAGAAATATTTTATTTACAAAGTGTTTCCATTTTAATGCCTTGCTTTTATTTTACATTATCTAATAAATAATCAACATGTTATGTTTTTCTAAAAGCCAGTATTTTACTAGACTTTCAGGTCCAATATACCTACATATTATACTACATCTGAATTATGATAGTTGCACTGCTTTCAGTGAAAATCTGACATTTTGTCTGGGTGTCACATATGTTTTGATTAGAGCATCTATGTAATATATTGACTACACAATGTTTTTACAGGATGAATGGTTGTTATGTGTTCTTAAAAACCAGCTCTGTCTCTGGAGGATTCAGATGACCACGTGGGCAATTTTGTGGTCAAGTGAACAATAGAATTCCCTTGAAACTGCATCAATGGCAAGGCTCTCCCATATATTAGATTCTGTGGTTACAGATTTGTAACAGATTTTATTTGCCAGATTTGTTTTGGGTTTTTTTAAAAATAAATATGAGTGAAACACAAGGGGAGGACAACACAGTGGCTGTACAAAATGTAACCAGTATCTGTCTTCATACTAAAATATAGTGGAACAGAATTTTTAAAACCTCAAGTATTCTAGAAATATGATGCTTAATATTCAGAACCTTAAATAGATTCTGAACTTTCTTAGCTCCCTTAGCACTGGAGAATGCAAAGAGACAGAGAAGATTTGTAGATGATGGCAGCATTTTTGTTTTCCTTTCTCCCAGCAGAGTGCTTCAGAACTGCACTTGAAGTGTCAAATGAAAAAAGAGTTTAGTATCTCTAGATATGCAAACATATGTGCCAATTCTGTAGAAAACCTAAGCACTTTAAATTCAGGTTGACACAGCTGAACAAGAGGAATAGAATAGCACTCAAGTGCTTGGAAACCACAATTCATTGGTTTTACTGTACAGATTGAAATTGGAACAACAGTTTCTCATCAGTTTAAGACTTCTGAAGCAGACGTTTTCTAATGCAAATATTTTTCCAAATTAAACCAGGCCAAGATTATTATGTAGGCCACTTAAGACAGATTATTGCAATGTATAGCAATGCACCAACATATTCAATTCTCATCTTTCAAAGGAATTGTCATCCTATGTGTCTTCAGTGATGCTATACCTCAATGTACACATGGGCACATCAAGTATTTTATTTTTAAGCCCACAGTGTTCTTTTGAACTGATCTTCATGGGATGAAGATTCTTTATAGTTCCACTCCATGCACTCCAGAAAGTGCTGTTTCATGTTGTGATACATATTTTTCTGTGTAGGGAAGGGACTGGAATTCTCCTATATTCAGGGACCTGTGTTCAGACCCACACTCAGCCATTGAAACTCATGGGGGGTGTGATAGT